GGGCCTGGGACAGAGGGGCTCGGGGACCCCCCAGGAGCAGGGCTGGGGACAGTCCCACTGTGACACAGGGGGTGACAGTGCTGTGGGGTCACCACCCACCCTGGCAGCGTTTGGGAAGAAATAAAACCCAGTTCAGCATGGGGCAGAACCTCTCCCGTGGTGATGGCAGAGCCTGGCACGGCTGCCCAGGAACAGGGTGGGGTTCCCTCTCTGGTGCCATCCCAAATCCCACTGGACACATTCCCATGTGCCCTGTCCAGGAATGGATCATCTCCAGAGCTCCCTGCCAACCCTGCCAGTTTGGGTTCCCAAGCGAGATCAGGGATATTCTGTGATTTCCCAGTTAGGATTCCCAAAGAAAATCAGGGATGTTCTGGGATCTCACTTTAGGATTCCAAAAGGAGATGGAGGATGTTCTGATATTTCACCAATAGGATTCCCAAGGGAGATCGGGGATATTCTGGGATCTCACCAGTAGGATTCCCAAAGGAAATCGGGGGTGTTCTGGGATTTCAGTTAGAATTCCCAAAGGAGATCAGGGATGCTCTGGGATCTCTTGAGTTAGGATTCCCACAGAAGATCGGGGATGTTCTGGGATCTCACCAATAGGATTCCCAAAGGAAATCGGGGATGTTCTCAGATTTGACCAATAGGATTCCCAAGGGAGTTCGGGGATATTCTGGGATTTCCCAGTACAATTCCCAAAGGAAATCAGGGATGTTCTGATATCTCACTGTTAGGACTCCCAAGAGAGATTGGGGATATTCTGGGATTTTCCAGTTAGGATTACCAAGGAGATCGGAGATGTTCTGTGATCTCACTTTAGGATTCCCAAGAGAGATTGGGGATATTCTGGGATTTCCCAGTACAATTCCCAGAGGAAATGGGGGATGTTCTGATATCTCACCAATAGTATTCCCAAAGGAAATTGGGGATGTTCTGGGATTTCAGTTAGGATTCCCAAAGGAAATCGGAGATGTTCTGTGATCTCCCTTTAGGATTCCCAAGAGAGATTGGGGATATTCTGGGATTTCCCAGTACAATTCCCAAAGGAAATCGGGGATGTTCTGATATCTCACCAATAGTATTCCCAAAGGAAATCGGGGATGCTCTGGGATTTCCCAATATGATTCCCAAAGGAAATCGGGGATGTTCTGGGATTTCAGTTAGGATTTGCAAAGGAAATCGGGGATGTTCTGGCAGAGGGAGCTCCCTGCCCATGCCCCGTTTCTCCCCATTCCCTGTGGGGGCACACAGAGCCAGGGCTCCATCCCAAGCAGGCAGAGCAGGGCAGGGATGGACAGAGCAGGGCAGGGCAGAGCAGTGCCCACACACCTTTCTGGGCAGCAATTTGGGCAGGATCCATCTCCACGGCCCCAGAGCCACG